CAGCCTTCCAAGTAGCCGGAATTACAGGCATGCGCTACCACACCCGGCTGATTTTTTGATTTATTGTAGAGATGAGGTCTCGCTGCCCAGGCGGGTCTCGAACCCGCGGGCTCAGGCAATCCACTTGCCTCAGCCTCCCAAAGGCGCAGGATTACAGGCTGAGCCACCGAGCCCGGCTTTACTCAGTTCTTTTTTTGTGTGTGTGATAGATCACTCAGTACTATAGACTCTAAGTCTATCCAGGTTGCTGTAAAGTTCATCATTTTGTCCTTCTTTATGGCTGCATAATATTCCATTGTGTATATATACCACATTTTAAAATTAATTCCTTTTGTGTACTTGTGTGTGTTGGAGTCTCACTCTTGCCCAGGCTGGAGTGCTGTGACATGCTCACGGCCACCACAGCCTTGACCTGCTAGGTTCAGGAGATCCTTCCACCTCAGCCTTCCAAGTAGTTGGAACTACAGGTGTGCACTACCATGCCTGAGTTTTTTGTTTTTTAATTGTAGAGATGAGGTCTTACCAAGTTGTCCAGACTGGTCTCGAACCCCTGAGCTTAGGCAATCCTCTCGCTTTGGCCTCCCAGAGTGCTGGGATTACAGGCTTGAACCACTGCACCCAGCCTATATTAATTCCTTTTCAATGTGAGCCCTTACAGTGGGCTAAACCAATATCACAAATATAGAATATTGTCAGTGAAAAAGGCATGGAGCTCTAGTTGATCACAAGTTTGACATAGATTCTAGCAGAAATGCCAGTATAAATCTTAGATTACATCAAAATCATGTAAATGGAGAGTTAGGACATACCTGAGAATGAATGTTGTCCAGATCCTCACCCATTGTAAGATTTATTTCTGCAGTATTTTTCATCAATGATCTTTTTTTTTTGAGTTGGAGTCTCACTCTGTCTCTCAGACTGGACCAGTGGCACTACAGCCTCAACCTACTAGGCTCCAGCGATCCTTCTACCCCAGCCTTCCAAGTAGCTGGAACTACAGGCGCATGCTACCATGCCCAACTAATGTTTTTGATTTATTGTAGAGACGAGGTCTCGCCAAGTTGCCCAGGTGGGTTTTGAACCCATAGGCTCACCTTGGCCTCCCAAAGTGCTGGGATTACAGGCTGAGCCACCGAGTCCAGCCAATGGTCATTATTCATTCATAGATACCTATATGCCAGTTTCTTTGCTGGACATTGGAATTACACGGTCCCTTGTCCTCTTGGAACATAAATATGTGAGAGAAGACCCATATTATACAAATGATAGAATGCTTGGGAGCACTTGATACCTAGACCTAACTTATCCAGGAGGTCAGGAAATCCTGCTGAAGAAAGCAACATTTAAACTGGGAGTTAGGCCAGGTACTGTGACTTACACCTATAATCCTAGTGCTTGGATTCCTCCCAAGGTGGAAAGATCACGTGAGGCAGGGGTTTGAGACCAGCCTGGGCAATATAGCAAAATGCAGCCTCTACAAAAATTAAAAAATTAACTGGGCAGGGTGGAATATACCTGTGGTCCTGGCTATTCAAGAGGCTGAGGTGGGAAGATTGCTTGAGCCTCGGAATTCGAGGCTGCAGTGAGCTATGATCATACCACTGCACTTCAACCTGAGTGACAGAGTGAGACCCTGTCTCTAAGAAAACAAACCAACTGACAAAAACTCAGAGTTGGTGGATGAGTAAGAGTTATGTAGGCTGGTGGGACTCTAGGGACAATATAATACCCAGGACAGTTTTGAGTGGTGCAGACTGTAAGAGTTTGGAAGATGAATCTCTCTGGCGATATGGTGTCACTGTTTCATGAGCTAATCCTTCACAGATTTAAACTCTCTAGACCAGCAGCTTCTCCTTTATGGAGGCTGCCTTCCTTTGACTTCACCCCTGGTCCTGGCCATATTTTTGAAGTAATGTGAACTGAACCTGTGCTGCTACAAGACAGTCTTTCTAATATTTGTGAGTTAGCTTCTCTCCAGGTAAAACATTATTATTCCTGCCAAGCTAGACATATCAGCATTCCTAGTCAGCATCCTTTGTGGATGATCTCTAGGTTGCTGATGTGGCGCTGAGAACTGAAGACACTTCAGATTGTTTAACTGTTGAGGAACATTGAGTATTTCTGTTTCTTTCTATCATCAGACACTAGACTCCTATTAATGCACTTGAAATTGCAATAGTTTTTTCAGCAGCTTCTGAAAATAGAAGTATAATTAATAGCAGTTCCTTGAAATCACCACTCCTGAAGTGTCTTTTCATTGAAGTAGCCTTGATTGCTCCTTTTTGGTCAAATAACTGCTGCCTATAGCTCAAGCCCTCCTTTTTGACAAGACCAAAGCCATCATCTTTCTAATCCCTAAGCTGACAAAAGTTTACCCTTGCTCAGCACACACCTAGTGAAATGCCCACAGCCATTCCCACAGTCCTTGGTTTCTTCAAGTCCTTGGTGCCTGTCCTCGAGGCATGGAAGGTTCTGCTGTCATTAGTCCTCTTGACTGGTTTCCCCAGAGGGCCTGCAGAAAGAGGACAAACTGCTCAGCGTGTGAGAGAGCAGCCTCCAAGCAAAGTGTCAGAGGGGAGACTACAAGGGAAGAGGCAGGCTACCGTGCTCCCATTGAGGTTCACAACTGAATTCTGAGGTAGAGGTTTGCAGAGAAACTTCCTGAGAGCTCCGTGATACCAAACCAAAGATTTATCCAGCCTACAGGATAGTTTGCCATCTCTGTTCTAAGAAAAACCCCCCGGCTATTGCCTTGCTAGACTCTGTGTGGCCATGTGCTCTTTGAGCTATGGCTGTTGCCAGTGCTTCCTGTCTTTGGTCCTCTCCCCCACCTTGGGTAGGCGAATCTTCTCTCTCTCTTCTCTTTCTTGCTCTAATTTATTTTTAAATAAACTGTATTTTAAAAAATAATAATCCCCTCAGCATCCTTTTTAATTAAATTTTGGATGCAGCAAGTCTTCTAGGACAATCATTAGAAAGCTGTTTTGGAAGACTAGAATAATGGAACTGTAGGGACCACGAGACATCTACTTTTCATTTTACAGATGCAGAAACTAAGGCTTTGGGTAGTAAAATTACTCACTCAAGATCACATCGGTAACTAGTTGATGAGCCTAGACTTGAACATGAGTCCCTTGAAAGAGAAATCTATTGAGCTTGCCTAAGTCTATTTTTATCCACAGATCTCCCCCTGGAGAATATGACCTGCATTTTGAAATTCTTTTTTTTCCACTTTGGCCCCTACTTTTGTTCTCTACTGTGGCAAATCCAGCCATTCAATTAAATAAAAATATCTCAAAGACTAATGCAGGCATACCTTGAAGACACTGCAAGTTCAGTTCCAGATCACCACAATAAAGCAAATATCACAAAAAAGTGAGTCATACAAATTTTTTGATGTCCCAGTGCGTATAAAAGTTATGCTAGCCAGATGGGCATGATGACTCACACCTGTAATCCCAAAACATTTTAAGAGGCTGAGGCAGGAGGATTACTTGAGGCCAGGAGTTTAAGACCAGCTTGGACAATATAGCAAGACCTCATCTCCTCAAAAAATGTTAAAAATTAGCCAGGTATAAAGGTATATGCCTATAATTCTAGATACTCAGGAGACTGAGGTAGGAGAATCTCTTGATCCTAGGAGTTCAAGGTTACAGTGAGCTATGATCATACCACTGTACTCCAGCCTGGGTAACAGAGCTAGACTCTGTCTTTTAAAAAAAAAATTATGTTTATACTATACTCTCTTTAAGTATGTAATAGCATTATAGCTTGAAAAAAAACCAATGTGTATACCTTGATTAAAAATACTTTATTGCTAAAACAGACTAATGATCATCTGAGCCTTCAGTGAGCTGCATTCTTTTTTGCTGGTAGAGGGTTTTGCCTCAATGTTGATGACTGCTGACTAATTAGGGTGGTAGTTGCTGAAAGTTGGGGTGGCTGTGACAGTTTCTTTAACTAAGACAACAATAAAGTTTACTACATCGACTGACTCTGTAGAACTTCTTTCAAAATTGAAGTCAATCCTCTCAAACGCTGCCACTGCTTTATCAACTAAGTTTATGTGATATTCTATAATATTCTAAATCCTCTATTGTCATTTCAACATTGTTCACAACATCTTCACCAAGAGTAGATTCCATCTCAAGAAACTTCTTTCTTTGCTCGTCCATAAGAAATAAATAATTCTTCATCCATTCAAGTTTTATCATGAGATTGCAGGATTTCAGTCACAGCTTCAGCCTCCTTTCTGATTCTAGTTCTTCTGCTATTTCCACCACATCTGCAGCTCTTTCCTCCACTCAAGTCTTGAACCCTTCAAAGACATCCATGAGGCTTGGAATCAACTTCTTCCAAGCTCCTGTGAATGTTGGTATTTTGACCTCCTCCCATGAATCATGAGTGGTCTTAATGGCATCTGGAGTGATGAATTCTTTCCAGAAGGTTTTCAGTTTACTTTTCTCAGCTCCATCAGAGAAATCACTATTTATAGCAGCTCTAGTCTTATAAAATGTATTTCTTAAACAATAAGACTTGAAAGTAAAAATTACTTCTTGATCTGGCTGGGCGTGGTGGCTCACACCTTTAATCCCAGCGCTTTGGGAGGCCAACGCAAGAGGATTGCTTGGGCCCAGGAGTTCGAGACCAGCTTGGGCAGCATAGCGAGACCTTGTTGCTACAAAAAAAAAATCAAAAGATTAGCCGAGCATGGTGGCACACACCTGTAGTCCTGGCAACTCGGGAGACCGAGAAGGAAGGATCGACTTGAACCCAGGAGATTGAGGCTGTTGTGAGCTGTGAGCATGCCACTGCACTCCAGCCCAGGTGACAGAATGAGACTCTGACTCAAAAAAATTGCTTCTTGGTTCATTGGTTTAAGGGAATTCTGTGGCTTGTTTGATTTTCTATCCAGACCACTGAAACTTTCTCCATATCAGCAATTAGGCTGTTTTGTTTTCTTTATCATTTGTGTGTTCGCTGGAGTAGCACTTGAAATATCCTTCAAGAACTTTCGTTTACATTCACAATTTGGCTAATTGGTGTTAAGAGGCCTAGCTTTTGGCCTATCTTGGCTTTTGACATGCCTTCCTCTGGAGGCTTAATCTTTTCTAGCTTTTGATTTAAAGAGAGAGACATGTGACTCTCCCTTTCACTTGAACACTTAGGGACCATTGTAGAGTTATTAATAGGCCTAATTTCCATAATATTGTGTCTCAGAGAATAGGGAGTCCTGAGGAGAGGGAGAAAGACGATTGGTAGACTAGTCAGAGCACACATTTATTGATTAAGTTTGCTGTGCTATAATGGGCATGATTCATGACATCCCAAGAGAGTTACAGTGGTAACATCAAAGATCACAGATATAATAATGAAAAAGCCTAAAATGTGAGAATTATCAGCATGTGACACTGTCTAAGGTGACAGGCTGTTGGAAAAATGGCACTGATAGACTTGCTTGACACATGGTTGCCACAACCCTTCAATTTGTTTTTAAGACAACAGCATTATCTATGAAACGCAGTAATGCAAAGTGCAGTAAAACACTGTGTTCTTGTATCTGCCAGACCCTGTGGGTAACACAAGGATGGATGCATCAAGATGCATGCTTTCACGTTGTTTTCATCTAGTGGAGAAGATAGCTAGATATGCTACTAACTATAGCACTGGACAGGAAGTGATATGAGCACTATTAGAAGTTCAAAATGCTGTGGCATTCTGGGGAACATAGAGATCACATTCTGTTTGGCAGGGGTAGGGGGATAGATGGTTAGAAGTTGCATGAAAGATACAGCCTTATAGCTAGAGCTTGAAAGGTTAAAGAAAAAAAGGTGTCTGCTTCCAGATGGAGTCAGGAAGGCATAGGGCAGGTTTGGGGGAAGAGAGATTATCCAGTTTAAATGTCAGGGGATAGCAGGAAGATAAGACTGGGAAGGTTGGTGGAGGAGTAATCACACACTTTTAGCATCATTTAAGAGAATTGGAACTGTAGTCGGCTCGCTGGCGCTATCATGGTGGGGGTGCTGAAGAAGACCACTGGCTTCGTGGGATTGACTATATGTGACACTCTACACGAGAGGCTGAGAATATTGTACACAAAGATTCTTGATGTTCTTGAGCAAATCCCTAAAAATGCCACATATAGAAAGTATGCAGAACAGATTACAAATGAGAAGTTGGCTATGGTTAAAGCAGAACCAAATGTTAAGAAATTAGAAGACCAACTTCAGGGTGGTCAAATAGAAGAGGTAATTCTTCAGGCTGAAAATGAATTATGTCTGGTGAGAAAAGTGATGCAATGGAAACCTTGGGAGCCGTTAGTGGAAGAGCCTCCTGCCAGTCAGTGGAAATGACCAATGTAATCATTAAATAACTTTGGTGGGTTGATGGGAAACTGATGTAATTAAACATTCTGTTATATTAAAAATGTGTCCATATTATTGACATCTTATAATTAAGAAAACTGAGAGAATATATTTAGGAGACTTGTTAAAATTAATGATTATGGTAATATAGGGTCTTGTGAACCAGTTTTTGATTGTAAAATATTCACACAGATTACTTCAAAGATGTGGTTTATTTGAGCAGAGAGGTTGTGGGATGATTTGAAAATTAATTAGAAAAATTCCTACAGATTTTCAATGCAGAGGCTATAACCAAAAAGTTTCTTTAGTAATATCTTCAATATGCATTTAATTTTTAAAATTACTCTAACAAGAGAAAAAGTCCTTAATTATTCTTGTCTAAACAAATTTATGGTCACTGTTTGAAGAAAGTAGTAAGAGGGAATATTTTAAAGTGTGATAAAATAGCAAAAGTAGGCCAGGCTCAATGGCTCAGCCTGTAATTCCAGCACTTTGGGAGGCCGAGGCAAGTGGATTGCCTGAGCCTGTGGGTTTGAGACCTACTTGGGCAACTTGGTGAGACTTCATCACTACAATAAATAAAACATTATAGTGTACACCTGTACACCGGGCATGATAGTGTACACCTGTAGATCCGGCTACTTGGAAGGCTGAGGTGGAAGGATCGCCAGATCCCAGCAGGGCGAGGCTGTGGTGGCCAGGAGTGTGCCACTGCACTCCAGTCTGGGCGACAGAGTAAGCAAAAGTAGCTGGTGATAAAACTTGAAATTGTGGTTAACTTCCTTGGCTGTGATCTTATGTATATAAGATATAATTTAAATATATAATTATATACTGATTAAAAAATCCATAATAAATGCCATTTATTTTTAAAGAGGGAGAGAGAGAGAGTTGGAACCTTGAAGGGTTGGCAGTGAGAAAACCCTAAAGAATTTTTGAGCCAGGACTTTTATAAAGATAAATATACAGTATTTAACACTGCTAGGAAGATTACTTAGAACAGCAGTCCCCAACTATGCCGCACAGCAGGACGTGAGCAGCAGGTGAGCCAATGCAAGGCTTCATCTATACTCCCAGCCACCCCCTATTGCTCACATTACTGCCTGAGCTCTGTCTTCTGTCAGATTAGCTGCAGCATTAGAATCTCATAGGAATGCAAACCCTATTGTGAACTGCACATTTGAGGGATCTAGGTTGTGTGAGAATCTAATGCCTGATGATCTAAGGTGGAGCTGAGTCAGTGATGCTAGCATTGGGAGTGACTGCAAATACAGATTAACATTAGCAGTGAGGCTTGACTGCACGTCCCTCACTCCCTCTCTGGTCCATGGAAAAATTATCTTCCATGAAACCACTCCCTAATGCCAAAAAGGTTGGGGACTGCTGACTTAGAAGACTCTTGCAGTAGTATAGTCGAGAGATAATACTGGAAATGACAGTGGCAAGGAAGTGAAGGTGCAGAAAACATGGCAGAGGTGGCTTCTATGGAATTGTTGGAGTCTGCTGAACAAAGGGAGGCGGAAGCAGCAAAGGTGAATCCTAAGCTTTTAACCCAAATACTCAGCGAATGATGTACCACTTCTATCACTAAAGGTCAAGAGAGGGAATAGTTTAAGAAGAATCTGTTGAAGGGTTTCCTGTTAAATTTGTTAAATGTTTTCATATTAAATTTGTCATTCCAACAGGACATTCAGCTGGGAGGGTCTGGTGCTAGTTAGAAATGCAGGTCTAGAAGCTCAGAGAAGAAGGCCTCTCTTGGAGATTCTCACAGTTGAAATGCAAGTGGCTGATGTTGCTGATTTGGGGTTCAAAAAGGAAGGAAGAGGGCCCAGGACAGGATTTGGGGGATTCGGTTGGTAGGCTGGAGTAGGAGCTACAGAGAGAAGAAGGGTTGACAAAAGAGGAGAGAATTTAAGAACCTGGGGTATATGGTATGTGGGAGCCAAGGCAGCAAGGGTTTCAGGAAGGAAGGGAGAGAGAGCCTTTTGCTACCTGCTGCAGAAGAGCTAAAGGTTGTGGGTACTGAGGGGAAGACTGCTGGTCTTCATCCTTTTCAATTCTTTCTGACTTTGTTGGTTTTACCTTTACAGGATAGCTTCCTAGGTTTCTATAAATGAATAGAAGCACTTCCATTCTTGGTCCATGTGTCTGTCTGTGTTCACAAACCCTACTTGATGTATATGAGATGTCTTCATTTTCTACTACATATCCAGTGTCAGTCAGTACATACAGGAATTTGGTGAAAAAACATAACATATCGTCTCTGTCAAGGTTCTTTCTGGAATTTTGTCCTGGAACCCCCAGCGTGTCAGTGCTACCACTCACCCACCAACCTCTCCTGGCCTCTGCCACTTGAATGTGCCTTGTACTTCATGCTACCTCCTCCCAGATTTGGAGATATGCCCCAGAGGCAAGTTACCATTTCTAATAAAACATCAAAGGATGATCAGAGAATGAATGCAAGGAAGAAAGGGAGAAGGTGCTGTATACTTGGTTTTCCAAGTACCATGCTAAGTGCTTTGCCTTCATTATCTCATTTAATCCTCATAGTAACCCTGTATTATCCCTATTTTACAGATGAGGAAACTGATATGCAAAGAGGTTAAGTGACTTTCCCAAGATCACACAACTAGTAAATAAGTGTGAAACCAGATCTGTCTGACTCCAGAGCCTGTGTTCTTTTCCAGGTTCTGAGTTTGGAGTTCTAGAGTTGGTGTAGAGACATAAGAGTTGGGGACGCTCTGCCTAGCACCTGGGGGAAGTCAGCTTTGGGATGTGATTTTAAATGGTGGTACCCATGGCTGATACTTGTGTTATTTTTGCCTTAAGTTATTTTATAGTAATTGTTCACTCATCTCTATTTCTTCCTAAGAAGAATTTATATAATTGGTATTCTTTTAAGCTCTATTAACAACAATTAAAGGTTGATTGCTGGTGGGGCAGGAGGCCATTATTTTTCACTATAAGTCCTTATATACTAATAAATTTTTTATTTCATTACTTTGATTCAGTAAAAAGTTCTCTAAAAACCAGTAGATACTGAGATATAATAGCAAACACTATGAGTACACAAAGAACACACTTTGCCAAGTTAATAACTGCGAGATACACTCTTACAGTATCACAAAACCTACACTTTGTGCATCTGTTCTTTTATTGGAAGGTTCGAAATGAGTTTTACAAGGACACACAGGGTGTGATACTGGTCTATGATGTTGGGCAGAAAGACTCCTTTGATGCCCTTGATGCGTGGCTGGCAGAAATGAAGCAAGAGCTTGGACCTCATGGAAACATGGAAAATATTATATTTGTAGTGTGTGCCAACAAGGTAACATCTTTGAAAATGGCATGTTCAAATTTCTAGAGGAAGAGTAGAGCTCTGAGTGTTGGAGAACAAATAAAAAGAGAAATTTCTTATTCTGTAATGAAGGAATCGGCTACCTTTCAAAATATATGTTACTAAGACAAAAGCAAAACAAAGGCCCAAAATCTGGTATATCAGGATTTTTAGCCATTTTTTTTTTTTTCTGCTGCCATACTTGGGGAAGGATGTCAGTGACTGAGCAGGAGAAATGAATCTTAATAATCACACTCTGACCTGATCGGAAGAAGGGCTTTAGCTGAAATGTGGGCTGTAGAAAGGTATGAAAAGTGGAGCATGGTACCGAGGGTATGACAGATATCATGAAGCCAACTTTCACAGAAGTGAGTAGCAGCTGTTTTCCCAAGAGATCAAGTGGGCTGTAGTAGGCACTAGTCCTATTGCCACAGAATATCAGCCTATATTTAATATTATTATTATTATTATTATTTTGTCCCTTTTGGTCTTGGTAATTTTTAATACACTAGTGGGGCATTTGTTAGGAATAGTTTTGCCTTAGTAAAGGATTGACAAAGAAAGACCTTGCTGGGCCTATTCAAGAATCTTCTCCCTGTCCCTGAACTTTCTGTTTCAGATCGACTGTACCAAGCACCGCTGTGTAGATGAAAGTGAAGGACGTCTTTGGGCTGAGAGCAAAGGGTTCCTGTACTTTGAAACTTCAGCACAAACTGGAGAAGGAATCAGTGAGATGTTCCAGGTAATCTAGCATTTTGTTGTTTTAAGGTTTATGTCAAGGCCAACAATGCCAATTTTTAGTCTTAAAATTACGGGAAGCAAAAAAGTAATAGGAACTTCTCATTAGAATTAGCTCTTTTTAAAGAAGCTGGTGAGATAGAGATAGAGAGAGAGAGAGAGAGGGACAGAGAGAGAGAGAAGAGAGAGAGAGAGAGAGAGAGAGAGAGAGAGAATGAATGATTTGTCTGCTGTAGAGAGAAAGAATATATGTGTGTCTATAAGTGAACATATAAAAATATCTAAGGGTCTGCTGTCTATTTTAGACCAGACCTGGCTGATTCTCAAAATTAACTGGGGCAATTCTTCAAATACATATTTCTGGGCTCCATATATTTGTATGTATGTATATTTGAATATATATATATGCATATATTTATGAATATATAAGTTCTTCTTAGGAAGAATTGGGGAGATGAGTAAACAATTAAAGTGGATTAATGTTGTGATGGATTAAAGTTGTGATGGATCCTAAGAATCTATATTTTGAAAAAGCTCTCCTGGTGATTCTGATGATTGTCAAGTTTAACAACAGTTATTAATACACAACTTAAGCAGGACAAAGACTTTCTTCAAAACTACCTTTGATTAAAAGTGTTACATTTGTATGCATAATCAAATGGAGGTATTACTATGGCAAAATTGTTTCCACAGCTGATATAATTTTGCATTGTAGCCCACTGGGTACAGTTAGAGAACACGAGATTGTCATATCAGAATTCAGCCAGTCACACATAAAAGCAAGGTCTCACCAATCAGGCAGGCAGTGGAAGGATGTGCTCACATTGCAACCTGAATAGATGGTCACTTTTTAAAACCTACTAATCTTGAATAATTTTAAGAGAAGGAGGCTATTTAAAACAATAACTTACAAAGTCAACTCTTCATTATAGATACACTTGGAAGTAAGTGGTGGCATGAATAATGCATTTTTCTTCTTATGAATATATCTGATATTTTGGGAATTTTTAGCATTTCAAATAATGTGGCTATACTCTAAAGAGTTGTCGTTAATTATTGAGTGGGATTGTATTTAATCTTTTATGCTGAATTTCCTTCTTATAAGATGTCACTACTCCTACTAGAAGACAGGTTTCTTCCTTAGTTGACAGGCTGAATTGGGCAAAAGTACCTACTATTTTAAGATCAAATAAAGCTGATATTGATTTGCCATTCTTTCTATTCTTTTAAGAACATAGACATATGTGAGTTTGTACCTATATAAGTATAATAATGATACTTAACCATGTGAATAGTATTTTACAACTCTGGAAAAGCTTACATGTTTCATGGAACGTTTACACACTTTACAGTGTGTGGCAGGTATGACTCTCATTCCATATATGAGAACATGTAAGAGAGTAAAGTGGTTCTTCCAAGGGGTGAAACTGTTAGAGATTACATTTCTTTTAGCGCTTTAAAGGTGTCAGCTCATTCTCTTCTGGCCTTCATTGCATCTCATGAGATGTTACCAATCATTCATGCTTTTAATCCTCTGTATGTAATGTGTCTTTGTCCCCGCTGGCTGCTTTCAAAAATTTCTCTTTAGTTTTTAGTCATTGGACTATGATGTGCCAAGGAGCAATTCTCTTCATATTTAGTTGTGTTGGGATTTGTTGAGTTTTTAAGATTGGTAGAGGTGTTTTTCATCAAATTTGGGAAGTCATTTTTTTTTTTTAACCATTATTTCTTCAGGTTTTTTTTGGCCACATCCTCACTCTCTTTTCCTTCTTTGGCTCCAATTACATGTATATTGGACTATTTAATTTTATCTCACAGCCCCTGAGACTATGTTTACTTTTATTTTTCTCCATATTTTTCAGACTATATAGTCTCCATTGATTTGACTTCAGATTCACTGACAATTTGTTGTTAAATCCACTGAGAGAATTTTTCAGTTCAGTAATTTTCAGTTGTAGAATTTGCATTTGGTACTTTTATATAGTTCCCAGTTCTATAATAACTGTGTATTTGTCTGCTAAGTTCAAAATTTGAACCATCTTGGGTTCTGTTTCTGTTGACTATTTGTTTTTCCAACTATGGATCACATTTTCTTGTTTTATTGTATGAATAATGATTTGTTATTGAACACCAGATATTGTAGATAACACATTGTAGACTCTAGATGCTTTATCTTTCTCAGAAGAATGTTGATTATTGTTTCAGGAGATAATTCAGTTATTGGCAGATTACAATCAACTTGTGTAAACTTGATTTTTTGCTTTAATAGCAAGGATTTGAAGGAAGTCCAAAGTGTTTCCAAAACTCTTCTAATTTGGCAGGACGCAGCTTTCAAATTCTGTCTCTCTTGCAGTGTTGTCAGCTCTTGGTTTTAGGTTTGTTAGGATGAGTCTATAATTCCTAAGGCACAACCTTTCTGTGTTACCTCAGCAAGCTGGTAAGGCAGGCAACCAATGATGTATTAAGACAGTTTCTCCACTCTGGCAGAACTAACCCTTAGTGACTCCAGGCTGGTTCTTTCTCTAGTACCAGTAGACCTCGATATATTGGTTTTGTTCTCAATACCATAGCAACTTTTATCTGGAAAGCCTCAGGTGATCTCACCCTATGCATGTATAGACCAGCCCTTAGCTACAAACTCATGAGGAACCCCTGCATGGACTTGGGGCCCAATTCTACACTTCAGTGTCCTCTGCAGATTCTAGCCACTTCAGCGCCCTCAAACTCTGATCTCTGCTCCTTAGTTCAATGGGACTTTGTGTCTGCTCAGACTCCAGCTCACTGTGATGTAGTCAGGAAATGAACCCCAGGTAGGGAACCTGGTGCTCATGGGGCTTACCTCTCAGGGAGTGGTCTTGTACTTGCTGTTGTCCACTGCCAGAAAATAGTTGCCTCATGAAGTGTCCAGTTTGATAGTAGTGTTTGGCAGAAGATCTAGCTTAATATTCATTACTCTGTCATGGCTGGAACTCAGACACGAAATTTAAACGGGCTTTTGAAGTCAATGCTAGTAGTGTTCTATATGTCACACCTCAACTTGTCTTCTATAACCATGTGTGTTATAGATGAATACTTGTGTCCTCAGAAATCTAAGTATGTATATTTCATGCTAACTCATAGGCAAGAAGAAGATCTTACTAGTACTCACAACTGTGAACTGTGATCCCTTTTACGTAGCTTTTATCCTTTTAGATATATCTTAAGCAGAACTAACAGATGAATTAGTCTGTTTTTTTAAAGGCTAACAAGAAGAAGAAGAGTATAATAACGTTAATCTATAAATAAGCACATAGAAATAGTGCTTTACAGCTGGTTCAATTTAATATTTTCTTTGTTTCCTTTCTATTTAACAGACACTTTATGCAGGAAGGAACTTGGTTTTGTTTGATTGGCATTGTTAACAGAGAAAGCAATATTAAGATAGACTAAAACCAAGTTAACAGTTCCTTTGTCTTGGTTTCTAGTGGCTTTTCCTTTGACACTCCTTCTCAGAAGTCAGGGTTTCTTGCCAGGTTACCAAGTTGATTAGCTATTACTGGCGATAAGAAATATGAATCTAAGCCGGGCTCGGTGCCTCAGCCTGTAATCCCGCTCCTTTGGGAGGCTGAGGTGAGTGGATTGCCTGAGCCCGTGGGTTCGAGACCCGCCTGGGCAGCAAGACCTCATCTCTACAATAAATCAAAAAATCAGCCGGGCGTGGTAGCGAGCACCTCTAATTCCGGCTATTCGGAAGGCTGAGGCGGAAGGATTGCCAGAGCCCAGCAGGTCGAGGCTGCGGTGACCGGGAGCGGCCACTGCACTCCAGTCTGGGCGACAGAGTGAGACTCCAACTCAAAAAAAAAAAAAAAAAAAAAAGAAAGAAATATGAATCTAAAAGAAAGATAAAATGTTCAGCCTGGGCAATATAGTGAGACCTTGTCTTTGCAAAAAAATTTAAAAATTAGTTGTCTGTGGTGGCACACACCTGTAGTCCCAGCTATTTGGGAGGCTGAGGCAAGAGGATCACCTGAGCCTAGGATGTTGAGGCTGTGGTGAGACATGATCATACCACTGCACTCCAGCCTGGATGACAGAGTGAGCCCCTAACTCCAAAAAGAAAAGAAAAGAAAAGAAATTTAAAAAGAAACAGAGGGAAAATGAAATATGTCAATTTAAAAGCAGCCATAAACCGGGCTCAGTGGCTCAGCCTGTAATCCCGCGCCTTTGGGAGGCTGAGGTGAGTGGATTGCCTGAGCCCGTGGGTTCAAGACCCGCCTGGGCAACTTGGTGAGACCTCATCTCTACAATAAATCAAAAAATCAGCCGGGCATGGTAGCGCGTGCCTGTAATTCCGGCTACTTGGAAGGCTGAGGCAGAAGGATCGCTGGAGCCCAGCAGGTCGAGGCTGCGGTGGCCGGGAACGGCCACTGCACTCCAGTCTGGGTGACTGAGTGAGATTCCAACTCAAAAATAAATAAATAAATAAAAATAAGTAAATAAAAGCAGCTATAATGTAGTAAATTAATATTTTGAGTAAAGTTATTCAATAGCAGTGCACAGAAGGTGAAACATGAACAGGATCAAAGCATAACTTTCACTTTTAAAAAATTCATAAAAGTGGGCAAAGAATATGAATTTTGCAGAAAAAGAAAAGGCAATAGGCATATGAAGAGATTTTTACTTTTACTTATAATTAAAGAAATGTATATCAAAACTGTGAGATACATGTCCAATTGGCAAAAGTTGAAATGTATGACTTTTAAAAAATGTATTAACGGGGTATGGTGAAATAGGCATTCTAATCCACAGTCTTTTTTAACAAAAGTCATCCAATCAAAAATTAAAATGCATATACACTCTCAACACATATACTCAACAGCTGTTTTTAGGAAGTTATCCTAAAGCAGTATTCCAAGTGTGCAGAAATATCTACATGCAAAAAAATTCACTAAAGCACTGTTTGTGGTAGCAAAAAAACTGAAAACAGCTCACTGGTTAAATAAATTATGGTATAGTCACACAGTAAAATACTAAACAGTCATTAAAAAGAACAAAGAAAGTCTTTATATGTAGCTAAAGAAAGATTCCAAGATATATTATTATGTGGAAAAAAATGCAAGGTGCTATACTATGCAACGTGTTTAGTCTATGTAAACATTTAAAGAGTATAGATCTGTGTATTTGCTGATATATTGATGAAAAATTTTTCTGGAAGGATACTCAAAAAAATATTAACAATACTGGGCACTCACACCTGTAATCCTAGCACTTTGGGAGGCTGAGGCAAGAGGATTGCCTTAGCCCGAGAGTTTGAGACCAGCCTGGGCAGCATGGCAAGACATCATCTCTACAATAAATAAAAAAATAGACAGTTGTGGTGGCACGTGCCAGTAGCCCTAGCTACTTGAAAGACTGAGGCAGAAGGATCGCCTGAGCCTGGAAGCCTGAGGGAGTGACAGAGTGAGACTCAGACTTAAAAAAAAGCAACAAAAAACCAGGGCGCAGTGGCTCACGCCTATAATCCCAGCACTTTGGGATGCCGAGGTGAGAAAATTGCCTGAGCCCATGGGTTCAAGACCAGCCTGGGCATCTTGGTGAGACCTCATCTCTACAATAAATCAAAAAATTAGCCAGGCATGATGGCGCGTGCCTGTAGTTCCAACTACTTGGAAGACAGAGGTGGAAGGATCGCCCAGGCCCAGCAGGTCAAGGCTGTGATGGCCAGGAGCATGCCACTGCCCTCTAGCCTGGGCCACAGAGTGAGACTCCAACTCCAAAAAAAAAAAAAAAAAAATATATATATATATATATATATATATATATGAAAAA